GAGCTGTCAGCGCGAGGGTGTTCAGGTCCCCTGCTATTATGGTATTAGTGTCTATTTCCTTCTTTAGGTCTAAAAGAATTTGCTTTATAAATCTGGCTGCTCCAATATTGGGTGTGTATATATTTATAATTGTTATGTCTTCTTGATGGACATATCGGGTCTTGGGCCTCTCTGGGGAGCCACCTCTCTGGTCAGCTTGGACTCTCCCGGGCTGCTGGGTGACGGGGCGGTACCGCAGGGTGTCGCTCCTGTCGCTGCCAGTTCCACCGCTCACGCTGCTGCCGCTGGCACCACTGCCATCGGCTCCGCTGCCACCGCTTTCCCCCCTCGTGCCGCTACCGCTGGTGCTGCTTCCCCCGCTGCTGCCACTGCTGCCGGTGCCGCTTACGCTGCTGCTGCTGCTGCTGCTGCTGCCACCACCGGCTCCTCAAAGTTCCAGTTTCTGAGGCTGGGAAGTCCAAAGTTCATCTGGTAGTGGTAACAGTGACTCAGTAACTCACATTACAAGATGATGGAAGCAGAGAAAGCAGAGGAAGTAAGAGCTCTTGAAATTAAAAACAGAACATCTGAAATTTCCGGGAAATAGTTGGAAAATAAAGTTGATGAATAATCCCTGCAAGTACAACAAAGGACAAAAAAAATGAAGTCTAAAGAGGAAAGACATGAAATATAGAAGACCAATTCAAGAAGGTTTGAGAACCAAATAAAAAAGTTCAAGAAAGGTCCGGCCCGTGGCTCACTCGGGAGAGTGTGGTGCTGATAACACCAAGGCCCTGGGTTCGGATCCCATATAGGGATGGCCGGTTTGCTCACTGGCTGAGCGTGGTGCTGACAACACCAAGCCAAGGGTTGAGATCCCCTTACCGGTCATCTTTTAAAAAAAAAAAAAAGCTGGAACAAAGAAAGTAAAGAACAAAAAGTTAAAGAATTCTAGAACCTTTCTTAGAATAGAAAGGGCAAGGGAGGGCTGGCCCGTTGGCGCACTGGATAAGTGCGCCGCTTGGGAAGTGCGGCGGCGCTCCCGCCCGAGGGTTTGGATCCCACGTACAGACCGGTTCCCGCTCACTGGCTGAGCGAGGCGCGGGAGCAGCACCGAGGGTTGCAATCCTGTTGCCGGTCCCCAGTCCGGTACGGGGGCAACACTGAGGGTTGCGATCCGTTGCCGGACACGGAAAAAGATAAAAGACACAAAAAAAAAAAAAAAAAGAAAAAAAAAGAAAGGGCAAGGGAAAAAAAGAGAAAAAAAGAAAGAAAAGCAAAATGAAGCCAGCAAATTGTATAATATCGGAAGAGCAGAAATAAATAGAAGATCCAAAAAGCTTTGAAAAATAAAAATAAGAAGTCCAGTTCTATTTTGATTCCTCATCTTTTGTATCTATTACAAAGCAACACTGGAAGCTAGAAGACAATGAACAATGACTTCAAAATACTAAGGAAAAATAATTTCCAACCTAAATCTTAACACCCAGTCAAATGGCCAGTAAGGGAAGAAAACAGAATAAAGATATTTTTAGACATACAAAATCTCAAAAAATTGCCTTACATGAGCCCTTTCTCAGGAAGTTACTGGGGATATACTCCATCAAAATCAGAAAATAAACCACGGAATCCAAAAGACAGGAGACCCAACATAGAAGGCAAAGGAAATTCTCATTATGGTGGTGCTGAGAGATTATAGAACTGCTTTGAAATAGGCATAGAGAACAACTGGTTTTGAATGGAACAGAAGAAGGGGTTCCAGGGAATGTGATCCTAAGGGAAAAAAAAACAAAACTGAGCTAACAGATTGGTTTGGTTTGACCATGTGGAAACTGGATTAAAAATGTGAGGGAAGAATTATTAATGGGTAAGATGAAAACTAAGCAAATGAAAAATAGTTATTTGCTCTTGGGGAAAAAAAACAGATGTGCAAGGAAAAAGAATAGTACATTACTTGGCTTGACAGTGAATAATATTTAAAAGCACTGAATATTGATTTAAATTAAAGCTGTGATATAATTATACTGGGAAGATATGGGTAGGAGATGTGTGGTATAATGGAATGGAGCTAAGCGTTCATCTATTATGACATACAAATTAACAGATTCGAAAATAAAATAAAAATTAAGAAAGGGTTCTGTAAGATTATTATTTAAAAATAAAGAAGTAAAAGAATAAAAGGCAAATGTTCAAGCTGGTATATGAAAGATAACATTATATTTAGAAATTCATGGGTGGTGTTATAACACCAAGGTCAAGGTTTTAAATCCCCATACTGGCCAGCTGCCAAAAAAAAATAAATGAATAAATACATTGGAGGACAATCACATTCTTCTATGGACAAATAAGCTGCACAGAATATGGAACAGATCTATGAAATACGGATAAAGAGTATATATGTTCCATGTAAAACATATAAGAAAAAAATTTAGATAATGGTGATGTACTTTGAAATGTAGTCATGGTTTGGGGTGGGAAGGTACGGTTTGTTTTCTTCTGTATATTTGGTTTAAATTTAAATTTTTAAGTTTAATTTTTTTTCAAGGATATACTTGTGATATTTAAAATTATTTTTAGGGCTCAGTGGTTAGCTCAATTGGTTAGAGAATTGTGTTATAACACCGAGGTCAAGGGTTTGGATCCCCTTACTGGCCAGCCATCAAAAAAAAATTTTTTTAATGTTAAAATATAATTAAAACCATGGTCCTATATGATGGCAGGGAAATGGACAAGAGTTTTTTCAACATCCCTTCCAGGTATATGACTTCATGAATGAATGAGGGTTGAAGAACTTGTTTTAATTCTGAGAACAATTTATCTCAAGTGAGTATCTTCAGTATCACTTACCTCCTTAAAACCAGTTTTAGTGGTAGATGACTTAATTATGATGCTGTGCTTCTACAATGAAATAATAATTCCAGTACATTGAAGAATGGTTCCATAATGATGCCTGCCACACCAACTTTCCATTGTACCTAACAATGTCCCTATTCTATTGCGGTCCATGCAAGCTTCCTACTATGGGAATATTATTAAGAATAAGGGTGATTTTTTGCATGATGGAGGTGCTTTATGAGATATGTCTTACCCATTCATAGGCTTACCATGATCCATTTTATGGGTCTATTATGAAAAGCTGAGCTAGGACAATAAAATCGCCTTTCTTGGGAATTTGAACTAGAAGAAAAAAATACTCCATTTGGCAGGTGTGGCAAAATATAAGGGCAAGTGTGTACCAGTATACAAACAACGAGGCCTGGCTCTACCACACATCCTGCTTTACCTTACATCTCAATTTACTAAATTTATTAAGGTTTCTGCTTCTCCTGAGGCTAGGTTATTCAACCTTATTTAAAGTAACTCGTGACCAACATTTTTACATTATTTCAGCTTTTTTTTTTTAATATTCATTTTAACTAGCTTTCTATTTTAATAATTGTTTGCTTATTTTACTGGATATTAACAAAAATTTAACTAGCATATCAAACCAGTGATTTCATAAATGAAGGGCTGGCTGGTCAGCTCAGTTGCTTAGAGTTTAGCCTTGTAACACTGAAGTCAAGGGTTCAGATCCCCACACGAGCCACCCACAAAAAAAAAATGAAAAAAGAACGAGCCATAAGTAAAATATAGTAGACTTGGAAAATAGTAAATTATAGCATAGTTGGTACTCACAAGTGATAAACACTGGGAAGGAATTATGTGAAAGATTGAGACTATGGAAAAATAGAACCACACAACCTCTGCATATTCATTTAAAAGTGCATCTATCACAATGTGCCACACCACTGTATTTCTACTAGATGTTGTAGATGAGTCCATAGATTTGCATGTTCAAGAAGAAATAATTATGACTCAGAAGTGGGTTCACAGATTTATTTTTTGCAACATTATTGGATAGCACTAAATATGCAATCTATTTTGAAAATCCAAAACAATCTAAGTATGGAAAACCAAATATTTATTATCAAGTACAAGATTATCTATCTTCCTAAAAGATTCTAAAAATATGTGATGGAAGGTTAGATCCCTACCCATCATTCACTGGCTCTCTGTCTATTTCGATGACTTAATACTCTTGAAAAGCATTATTTTAAAAATTGTTCTTCAAATTTATACTTAAAGAATTATTTCACCTTAATTTCCCTTTTTTCCACTATGATTTCTGTCTCTTAATATTAAATCTTGCTCACCTTCTCATAAAAATTATGACATACAGGACTGGCTGAGAGCTCACTTGAGAGAATATGATGCTGGTAACACCAAGGTCACAGGATTGGACCCCCATACTAGCCAGCCGTTCCCCCTGCCCCCACAAAAATTATAACATACTACCCACTTTTTCTATAAATGTTAAAAATGAATTGGGAATTAGGAACTCTTATATTTATTCTCTCCTCCTAAAATAATTTGTCAACATCAGTTGCTAATGCTTCATCTTCTTAAAAACATTAAATCTTGAATACATCAAGGTCCTGGGTGCTATCCCTGTACCGGCCAGCTGCCAAATAAAACGAACGAACCCAAAAACAAACAAACAAAAAATTAAAAATATTAAATGTACTGTTACCTTATATAAATTAGTCATCTGGCACAGCTCAAAACACTTCTTTACTACTACTATGAATTCAGTAATGCATGGGATTACAGGAAAATGAAAGCCCTTACCTCAGGCCTCAGAGAAGGAAGAATAACAATTTCTTGCAATGCTTGTTTTGCCAACTCTTGACCAGCTATATCATCAAATTTAACAGCTGTTCCACTAAGAAAGAGAACCTTAGTTAGTTCCACAATAGAAATATGGTTCAGTTATTACAATATGAAGTATAAACCCTATGAAGTATATTTTGATGTCAACTGTGAAACTATGATTTTCTATGTTTATATAATTAAAAACTATCATAAAAATTAAGCTTGTAAATCAGAAAGGTATTTATTATCTACTTCACTCATGATACATTTTATAAATAAAATTAAAAGGCTGGCCAGGTAGCTCAGTTGGTTAGAGCATGGTGCTGATAGCCCCAAAGTCAAGGTTCAATCCCTGTTACCGGCAAATAATAATAAAAATTTAAAAAATTTTAAAATACAAAAAAAATTAAAAATAAGGACTGTAAAATAAAACTTTAGATGGCAAACTTACTTGTCCACAATTTCGTTCATTATGAGATTAGCAAGGTTGCTATCCACATTCCTAAAATTCTTCAAGTCTTTCTTTTTACGAACAGCAGTTGTAGGGGTAGAAGGTTTATTTGTTCTATTTGTTTTTGGAGTACCCTTAAATGATACAAAATTTAAATATGAAAATACAACCTAACATTTATACTTTTAACAAGTGAATTAACCTCAAAGTTTACAGAATTCAAGTTTTTAAAATAGACAAAAGGATATAAAAATCCAAAAACTGTATATTTATCCCAAAGTAAAATTGTATTCATGATAGAATTACATTTGGCATGAAGTGGGTTTATAGAGGATGTTATACAGGGAGATTTAATTACTATAACAGAAAGCCCCTATGATAAAACAATCATGTAATTTTGATCCCTGTTAGAAATGTGACAAAACTCTAGGTATGTTTATGATATAAAACATTTACACATCCTTACCAGCCAGCTGCCAAAAGAAAAAAATAAATAAAATATTTACATAGACCGAAATAATTTGAAAAATAAATTAAAAATGAAATATATAACATTATATAAAACAGACTAGGTAAGCACACTTAACATAAAATGCCTAATTCAGTCCAAAAGGAGTTTTATATTTAACTTTGTAGAAACTTATCAATTTTCTGAGGTATTGTAAAGTACTTCTGATAAACTTCAGTAAGCAAAACATGCTCAAAATTTTTTATTTGCAAAGCATAGCAATTAAAGTTATAATCCCAGAATACCTTATGAGTGGCAGTCGCAGAACCAGGCCCCTGCCTCACTCCAGAAACCATGGATAAACCACTGCAACTTGGTGCTTTGGAGTAGCTTCCAAGACCTACTGGTGCAGTTTTCATAATTGCTTTTGGACGAGGCAGTGAATTACTAGTGTGTGTTAAGGGATCTTTTCTTTTTGGAACAGCTCCACTTTCTATCAATGAAAAAGTAAAACCATCAAGATTAGAAAATTATGGCTACACATTATAAAAAGTAATAAAAAGACAAGTACAGGACTGGCTGGTTAGCTCAGTTGGTTAGAGCACGGTGCTAATAACATTAAGATCCACGGTGTGATCCCTGTACTGGCCCGCTGCCAAAAAAAGAAAAGAAAAGAAAAGAAAAAAGAGAGAGGGGGGGAGGGAGGAAGAGGGGGGGAGAGAGAGAAAACAGGTACAAATTTGCAAATCAAGCCAATAAAATTTTTAAATCCAGAAATATTTCAAACTAAGATTTCGATCAGAACATATAACAGGTGTTCATAAGAGTTATCTGGGTGGATAGGATTATGGTTGTTAGGTTTTTCCTCTTCCTGATGTATATTCTACATCTTCTTACAAAGAAATGTATTTGTAAGATTAAGAAAAAACCTCATTTGTGGGGACAAGAATATAAAAAGTTATCAAGCAAATAAAGCTCCTAAAACACAAAAAATAAAATGCAGTAAGGCATTAGGGATAGGCTGTACAGAAGGAAAAAAAAAAAGCACTTCACTCTTGGGTTCCAAATTTTTAAGACTATATAAAAGTCCATAGCCTATACCCACTATGAATTTTTAAAACAGATCAATTTTAATTGGAAAAGTATAAAGATGTGGTTTTTAATTTACCAACTATTTTATGTGATGTATACATGTAAATAAACCTTTACAGAACACCTCTGACTAAGTTGAAAGGGTTACTTGTCCTGTTATGCTCTTCTATATTAAAAGCCTGTGATTTAAGGGCTGGCTCATGGCTCACTTGGGAGAGCGTGGTGCTGACAACACCAAGTCAAGGGTTAAGATCCCCTTACCAGTCATCTTTAAAAAAAAAAAAAAGCCTGTGATTTAATGTTCAAATCCCATTGCTTCTAAGTAATATTTTTATATACTACATAATAAGCATCAGTTTTTATTAATTTGCCGTGAAGACAAGTGTTAAATCAGTCAGCAAAGTAGTGTGGCCAAGAGAAAAGAAAGAAGCCTCAGTTTTGATTTTGTCATTGAATTCTTTTATACGGTTTAAGGAAACTAAGGACTCTAAACTAGTATAGGGAAATCAGTTTATTCCAAAAACCAAACAGTTTATTTATCTCAGGTAAACTGCTATAAAATCAGAAAGAGTAAACAAAATTCAAGTAAAAACAAACAAAAAAATACATTCACAGGATACCTTAAAATGAGGTTCTGAACACAGCAATTTTTAACTGGCACTGTGAAACTAAAATCAGGACCTCCAAGACAAGTGGAAAAATATATAGCTCTGTGAAGAGACAGTTATGACCACATACCCGCATACTCAAAAACTAGGCCAACTTTGAGTCGTTCATTTATAATAATTAAATTTATGACGGTCATGAAGATTATTATAGACTCACTCTAAACTATCTTGGATTATTGTTCTATGACATAAACAACTAGGACTTCTAGAATTATTCCAGTCACAATAAGAGCTGAAACTACCTATCTCAGCAAAGTCTTAAGATCGAAGATTCATTTACCTAAGCTAAGAAGTATATCAAATGGCCAATAATGCACAACATACTAAGTACAGGAAAAATAAAAACAAAAAATGGAACTATGGTCCCTATCTTCAAAAACAGATTCAATCTACAGAACACAAGGAACAGATACAATTTATAATAATTAGTAAATGTATATCCAAATTGTAGAGGATTCATTAAAGCAAATGTATTTCACAGGGCCTGGTTTTCCAAAGCCTTGCAGTTTGGGGGCAGGAAATTTTCCCCAGGCAACTGAGTCTCTGTTGTAAGATAAAGAATTGTAACACAGTGAGGATGCTGGTTCAAAGACAGACAGGTTACTGACTGATATGTAAAGTTACTGGGAAGCTGCTGGAGGGAGAAAAAAATGTTTCCTAGATCAAATTTTTGTTGGTAGATCACTTAATTGTCTAATGAAATGTCACGTGACTTGTTTTTACCGAATGTTACCAGGTTCTATTGTTAGACTTGTTAAAACTATGTCTCTTCCTGTAACTTGCTGGTCTGGAGAATAAATGCAGGAAGAGAACCCCAATTCGTGTTTAATTTCCAAAATGGAAGGAATGCCTCACGCTTGAGGGTTCTGGGATATTAACCCCTTTCTGGGGCATCTCACTGCTCACAAGAGATGGGCTTTTTTTTTTTTTTTTTTTTTTGGTCTTTTTTCGTGACCGGCAACGGATCGCAACCCTCGGTGTTGCACCCGCACCTCGCTCAGCCAGTGAGCGGCCGCCGGTCTGTATGTGGGATCCGAACCCTCGGCGGGAGCGCCGCCACGCTCCCAAGCGGCGCACTGTAGCAGTGCGCCACCAGGCCGGCCCGAAGAGATGGGCTTTGAGTAATCTTTGGTGGCTTCATCACCCAAGGGAAAAGGGGTGACAAATCTGTGGGAGGCAAAGCAACACAAATGATAAGACAACTCAAAATAAGGGAACTTTGGAATAGAGTAAGGTTGATCAAGAGGTTTTTCCAGTACATAAATATAAAGTTCTGAACCATACTCTCAAGAAACTAATGGATACTGACCATCAGGAAAGAAGCAAGAAAGCATTCCAGAAAAGGAAAAGCATAAGCAAAAGCAACGATGTGAAGAAAAAAAGCAATTTCTGCCTAGGGTAATGCTATATTAGCATCCATTTCAGAGGGAAAAAAAAGAGACTAAAGAAGAATTTCTTCAGACAGAAACTACACAGTCCTAAAACTATAGATAGAAATTTCCACAATGAACATCTATGATAAAGATAGCAGAATTTTCACCAAAAATAACAAATGTCAGAAGGCAATGAGGTATGAACAAAATGATGAGGGAATAAAAAGTGACCTGCCACATAAGAATGAGGGTATCTTCAAGGGCCAGCCCATGGCTCACTTGGGAGAGTGTGATGCTGATAACAAGGCCATGGGTTCGGATCCCTATATAGGGATGGCTGGTTAGCTCACTTGGGAGAGCACGGTGTTGACAACACCAAATCAAGGGTTAAGATCCCCTTACCAGTCATCTTTTAAGAAGAAGAAAAAAAAAAAAACAGAATGAGGTTATCTTCAGACATTAGAAAGCCTAAGACAGTTTATCTACAGACACTTTAAAAGAACTACAAAAGGATGTCATCAGGTTAAAAAGCAAATTAAACACAGAATAAAGTAAAAAGCTATATAACATGAAGTTAGAGAACAAGAAAAATCAGAAAACCTGTAGGGAAGGAAAACTCAAGACAGAAAAATCATAATGTATACTACTAAGTCATAGTAATTTTACTATAATTAAAAAAATAACTAAAAATACAATATACAAGAGTACTTTAAAAAGTTGATGGATTGGGGCCGGCCCGGTGGCGCACTGCTACAGCGCACCGCTTGGGAGTGTGATCGCGCTCCCGCCGAGGGTTCGGATCCCACATACAGACTGGTTCCCACTCACTGGCTGAGCGAGGTGCGGGAGCAACACCGAGGGTTGCGATCCCGTTGCCGGTCCCGGTCCGGTACAGGCGTGACACTGAGGGTTGCGATCCGTTGCCGGACACGGAAAAAGACAAAAAGGAAAAAAAAAAAAAAGTTCATGGATTGGTTAAAGCGTAGTGCTGATAACACCAAAGTCCAGGGTTTAATCCCTGTACCTACTAGCCACCAAAAAAGGTGGAAAAATTGAATTAAAATATAGTACACATCTTTCTATGAACTTTTTGAAGACCCACATGTGTGTGTCACTTAATGAAGGGAACAGTTCTGGGAAATGTATTATTAGGTAATTTGTCATTAAGCAAACATCATATAGTTTATTTATACAAACCTAGATGGTATAGCCTACTAAACACCTCGGCTATATGGTATAGCCATTATAATCTTATATGGTCTGTCCTTGACCAAAATGTCCTTATGTGGGGCATGACGATATATTGGGAAATAAAGGGCAATGGTAGAGTAAGAGAATTTTCAGTCTTCTTCCACCAATGAGAAGTTAGTAAGTATCAAAAACTGATAAATCAGGAATAGCAATATAAGAATAATATTTGAAAATACAGTGAAACATACTGGCCAGCCAAAAAAAAAAAAAAAAAAAAAGAAAGAGAAAATATGCCCTTCGGTATTTTAAAACCAACTTTACTGAGGTATAATCTACAAATAATAAACTGCATCCATTTAAAGTATACCATTTAGGGGCTGGCTGTTTAGTGCCATACCAGCCAGCCGCCAAACATAAAAAAAATTATAATAATAAAGTATACAATTTAATGAGTTTGTGAAGATGTACATAATTGTGAAATAGACAATAAAATCAAGATATAAAACGTTTCCATCATAGCCTAAGGTTTCCTGGCGTCCATGTGCACTCTATCCCTCTCACCACCCCCAGCCCTAGGCAGACATTAATCTGCTTTCTGACACTACAGGAGTCATCTGATTTAGTATTTTCTGTTGATCTAATTTCTGTTGATGAATCTTTCTTTTGACATCCCCAACCTACTGTTGAGGCTATCTAATAAAGTTTTTAATTTCAGTAACTATACTTTTTAACTCTAGAATATCCATTATTTTTATCATTTGTTAACTGATGCCATATTTTATTTTAATTCTTTGAACTTATTTATAATAGCTACTTTGAAGTCTTTGCTAAATCCAACATCTGGGCCCACTCACAGTTTCTACAGACTGGTTTTTTTCTTGAATAAGGGTCATACTTTCCTATTTTTTTGCATGTCTAATAATTTTGACTTGAAAATTGGACACTATAGATAACATATTATAGTAATAAGTAGATTCTGGTATGATGACTTCCTAAGGAAGGTGAAGTAACTCATCCAAGTGAAACATCCCAGAATGTTCCAGAAGGGAGTAACACTAATAAACTAGGCCTGAGTGAGCCAGCTCATTCCCTAGGGTTCACTGCTTATCAAATACTAGTGCTGTATACATTAACTCTCAAGTCAATATGTCCCTCCAACTATAAAACAGAATTAATTAATAGGACATTACCAGGGATTTGAAATAAGTCTGATTCTTTAAAATGGGTCCCAGGAAGAGGAAGATGACTTTTAAAAAGTTTTTTTTAATTTTTGGCATGGCAGAGAAATACAGTGGGATCTAGCATGTGTATAGAAATAGAAGAGAATCAAGATAACAAGCGATACCAGCTCTTCAGAGCTAGAGAACTTTTACTATTTACCCTGGTAGGATTACATCTCAATATGTATTTTGGAAACAACTATTTATATGTGATGCATTCTTACATTTGTTTTTATCAAAAATTTCCTTAAGAAAATGTCAGCCCTACACAGACATGCTAAGACAAACAGGCGAAGTACTTACATCTATACTTGAAATGGCATTTTAAATCAGACATAGGAAGGAATGGGAAGAGGAACAGCCACTGACTCTGTACTAGAAGACCAAACCAAAGTGAGAACTCCTTAAGGAAGAGGTGAAGACAGAAGGGAAAGAGCTGATGACCAACTGTTTCTTCTGTCCATAGAAATCCATTTACTCTACCTCTTCTCTATTAAAACCTTAATAGGGGCCGGCCCGTGGCTCACTCGGGAGAGTGCAGTGCTGATAACACCAAGGCCACGGGTTCGGATCCTATATAGTGATGGCCGGTTGGCTCACTGGCTGAGCGTGGTGCTGACAACACCAAGTCAAGGGTTAAGATCCCCTTACCGGCCATCTTTTTAAAAAAAAAAAAAAAACCTTAATAAATAAAGAAGGCAGTTGTCTTATAGCCTAACCTAAGGTTTTTCTGCAACAATTTGAACAAAGTAATGTTTACTTTAATAAAATTTAAGCCATAGACATGAAACTATTGCTGAAAAAGTCACCAATAAAACCAGGTGAGATGGGCTGGCTGGTTAGCTCAGTTAATTAGAGTGTGGTATTATAACACCAAGGTCAAGGGTTCAGATCCCCATATTGGCCAGCTGCCAAAAAACCCCAAAAAAACAACAAAAAAAAACTAGCTGAGTTGTCAGAGAACCTACGAAATGAAGATTCCTTCACCCAAACAAAACAAAACAAAAAAGCATTTAATCTTCTGCAGAGGTTGATCCCCAAATTTCACGGAAAACAGGTTTAATCCACAGTAAATAACAATATTCTAATATTTCTCCTCACTACGTGAAGCTCCAAATTTTTTCTAACAGGTACTACAATAAAAAATTCACATGTAGTATATATGAAAATTGATATACAATGAAAATTTATATATAACAAAAGAAAATTTAAAATTTGTCTTTTTTTTTTTTTTTTTTGTCTTTTTCCATGTCCGGCAACGGATCACAACCCTCAGTGTCGCCCCCGTACCGGACCGGGACCGGCAACGGGATCGCAACCCTCGGTGTTGCTCCCGCGCCTCGCTCAGCCAGTGAGCGGGAACCGGTCTGTATGTGGGATCCGAACCCTCGGCGGGAGCGCCACCGCGCTTCCCAAGCAGCGCACTATCGCTGTGCGCCACCGGGCCGGCCCCAAAATTTGTCTTAAAAAACACTATTTCATGAAAAAATTGGTATGACTATAAAAAAACAGAAGCTTAAAATACAATAGAAAGAAAAGAATATTTTCATAACTTCAGAGAATGTTCCCTCATATTTTATAATCTCAAAAATTAGAGATTAGGGCTGGCCAGTTAGCTCAGCTGGTTAGAGCTCGGTGTAAAAACACCAAGGTCAAGGATTCGGATCTCCATACCAGCCAGCTTCCCCCGCCCCACAAAAAAAGTAAAAAAATAGAAAACTTAGAGGTTACAAAATGTGCAAATAAAGCATATTTAGAATGGCTATATCTTATTTGTTACATGTTTGTATACTATGAATGATAGGAATACTGTATTTTCAATATAGCCCTGTGAAAAACAATTAAATCTACCATTATGAAATAAAATCAACATCACCAGGTTAAGCAAGACTCTACTTTGTGTACAAGCTTTATTATTTTACATGTTAGTTAACCTAAACCCACCTGACTGAAGATGTCCGTTGCGGCATGTCAAGTTAGTACTGTCATTATAGACGTCCATTTGTGACTTGGAAAATTGCAAAACTGGTTGCAGCTTCTCTATGCACCAGATAGGGTGTAAAAAAAAAGAACAAAATAAACAGAAAGAAAAAAATATAAAGAACAAATAAAATGTGCATGTGAAATGAAAAATTATTCAAGGTGTTACAAAGTTGTTACATGATGAAGAGTTTTTGCATTTATATAAAATTCTCTTTAAAAATATAATTAGTAAAAACTCAGACATAAACATAGCAACAAAAACTAACAAGTGAATGTCTAAGTTCAAAATATGCCTTACTCAGGTTTGGTAATTGAGGCAGTTATATATTACTATTATCACCAGCATATATTCACTGACTATGTAATATGTCCAAATCACTGTTAGGAGACTTCCATGGAGATAAAAAAAAAAAAATGAATATGGTCTCTATTGTCCAGATATTTATTAAATATAATTAGCAACTTACAATACAACTATACTTAAAAAAAAAAAAAGAAGAAAAAGACTGCACAGTACAAAAGAAAGAGACCACTGAAAAGCTTTACAGAGGAATTGGGCTATGAGCTGGCCAGGGTTTGAAAAGATAAAAAGAAAGGACATTTCAGGAAAGGAGAACAAGCATTTAAAATGGCACAGAGAGAAACTATAAGGAATGTCAGGAAATGTTATATTCAGCTACATTAACTAACATACATCAGGCAAAAAATAAATGCAATAAAGCAGAATGGAATAAGCGTACTGCAGAACTATGTGTACAGTACCCTACCATTTGTTTAAACACACACATATGCAGTTATATACATGAAGATTACCTCTAAAAAGGACCCACAAAAACATAATAGCAGCTGTCTCCAGGGAGGGGAAATAAGTGGCTGGGGCATAGTATAGGACGGATGCTTTCTAAACTCAAATTTTTAATAAAATTTAGTGGCATGTGCCTATATTACATTTTTTAAAATAATTAAAAATTCAAAAGGATTATTTCAACCCTACCCCCACTTTAAATAACAACAACAAACAACTCTCCCAAGATCTAGGTCTCGAAGTCCTGCACCTGACGATGAAGAGGGCAGCCGTTTGATCTTCCTTGTCAATCCTCATCACTGCTGCATTCTCTTCCCCCATTCAAGCAGTCAATTTATATGCTAGTTGATATACACCCTGCTCCACCACTTACTAGTGACATAACCTTGACTTAGCCTCAGTTTTCCAAAGGTCTCAAGGATTAAACAATGGATATAAAGTATGTACTCTATGCCTCAGCCATAATAGGGGCTCAATTTTTACCATATTTATTTTGCTGAAATAGTCCGAGTCATATCTGACTTTTGTTGTCTGTACCGGTAAGTCAGTGAATACATGTAAAAACACAGCACATAAGCAGCAGAAAACTATAACTAGGAGAATATGGGGTCAGGAAAGATTACATTTGGTTTGCTATCTTTTACTTTTGTATCTTTTTTGTATTTTTAAAAGAGAGATGTAGGGACCAGCCCATGGCTCACTCGGGAGAGTGTGGTGCTGATAACACCAAGGCCAAAGGTTTGGATCCCATACAGGGATGGCCGCTTAGCTCACTGGGTGAGCGTGGTGCTGACAACACCAAGTCAAGGGTTAAGATCCCCTTACCGGTCATCTTTAAAAAATACAAAAACAAACAAAAAAAAAAACACAGCACATATACTAACTCTCTTAAAATTTTCATTTCCAAGGTCACACAAGTAGGTGCCATGCTTCGTTTACAGTATAACCACATATGCCTTTGGGGCAGGTTAAATAGCAGCTATCTTTTCTGTACAAAGCACAAAGTACCGCACAGCTTTTGTATCCTTATATCCTAGGACGGGCTGATACAATATACCTTGAAGTTTTTTTATTTTGTTTTATTTTTTGGTTAGCTAACAGGCAGGTCACCTAATTTTTCTCAAAGATAAAATCACAAATTAGAAAAAACACTGATCTGTACAGGTCTTCTTTATCAACTAATACTTTCTTCAATGAAATGTAACAAAAAGTTCACAGAAACATTCATTATATAACAAAATTAAAGAGAAATTAATTCCTTAGTTTTGATAACTAATAATTAGGAATAAAAAACTACAGAACTTAGGCCGGCCTGTGGCTCACTCGGGAGAGTATGGTGCTGATAACACCAAGGCCATGGGTTCAGATCCAATATAGGGGTGGCCGGTTAGCTCACTTGGGAGAGCGTGGTGCTGACAACACCAAGTCAAGGGTTAGGATCTCCTTACCGGTCATCTTTATTAAAAAACAAAAAACAACTACAGATCTTGTTTTTAGGTATGTTGAATTTAGACTTATACATGTAGAAGCACACACACATAACTATAGCAGAAAACTGCTACTATGACCCTGCTCCAATTCATTTTTGTTAAAGAAAGTAAACTTAGACTAATGCTTCCTTTTAAAATGACTAAGGTTGGCTGGCCAGTTAGCTCAGCTGGTTAGAGCACAGTGTTGTAACACCAAAGTCAAGAAAAGTAGATTAATCAATGACTTAGATTAAAACAGACATAGGAAGGAACGGGAAGAATAGCCACTGACTCTGTACTAGAAGACCAAACCAAAGAAAAGTGACCTTAAAAAAAAAAAAAAGGAAAAATAAAATAAAAACCAAAATAACAGTGACCTTGCTTCTTGACATCCAACCCCCATACAATCATCTGAGTGATCTACTTAAAAAGAAAATTTTACCATATAACTCTTCTACTTAAAACCCTTTAGTGGCTTCTCATTGCTCATAGAGTTCAAGCTTCTACATATGATAAACCAGGCCACCCATGATCTGCCTATCTCTCTCATGCCTGAGCAATCCCAACTTCATGTCTCTACCCTGCCCTACTCACCATGCTGTTTGTTACCCTTGAGTCTTTGTTCATGCTGTCATTTCCTCCCAAGATGTCTTTTCTCACATTCTTTAGTACCTTTTGCTTATCTTCTTAAATCTGCACGTTAGGTTTCACTTCCAGGAAGCTTTCTCAGACATCTATTTTCCCACTCCTACAAAATATTTGTATATCTCTATCCTGCAGTGATAATGATGATCTTTTAATGTATCTGCCATTCCCACTACATTATGAGTTCTATAAACTCAGGAACATTTTGTCCAATCTATCAGTAAATCTGTTTGTTCAACCTTCAAATATAACCATAACTCAACCACTTGTTTCCAGTTCTCCTGATAGCACCCTGGCCCAAGCCTCCACCATTTTTCTCCTAGATTACTCCAACAGGGTCCTAATTGCTCTCCTTTGGTTCTACCCTTAGATTCTATATACAACATAGCAATCAGTGATCCTTCCAAAATTTAAGTGAGATTATGTCATTCCTTTCCTAAAAATGCTTATAATTGCTCTCCATTTCATAGGTGGTAAAAGCTCAAGTCCTCATGGTGGACTATAAGGCCTTGTGTGTTGTGATAATCCCTTCCCCCCTAATGAGTTCTCTGACCTCATCACTACTACACTCTCCTTACTGGGAACAATGGTCTCTTCGCTGCTTCACAAACATACCAGGTACATTATCTTAAGGCTTTGTACCAGCTCTTACTTCTCTCTGGACCATTCCTCTCTCAGGTATCTTCATGGGTAACTCATGTCAACTAATCAAAGAGAGATACCCTGACCATTCTGTTTAAAACTAAAAACCCAAACCACCTCCCAACCGATCCTAATCTATGTTTTACTTTTGTTTTTCTGTATATTTATCAACTTCTAATATAATGTATAATTTGTTTTTTATATTTATTTGTCTACTACCTGTCTTCTCCTCGCTGGAATACAAACTCTATGGAGGAGGGATCCTTGTCTATATTCTAAGTGCCTACAAGTGTGCCTAGCACATGGTAGCCACCAAATAAATATTTGTTAAGTTAATAAATAAATGTATTATATCCCTTGGCACTATACCTGGTACTAAGTAGGCATTTAATAAATGGATCTCAAATGAAGTTAAGTTTAAAAAAAGAAGTATAACTGCCAGGTATATCAAGATGCTGACACCAAAACTATCTTTATCTACAGCAGGTTTAACAACTTTGCTCTAAGGTTCACAATCACTAAACTAAAGGTAAATAAAATATATGAACTCTTCCATTTTTATCAGAGAAGTTGCATCTTCTCAAACCATCCTGTACGGAGAACTCAAGGCTCATTCTCCCCATTCTCCATCCTAATTAGATAGCTATTTGGCATCACACCTCTGAAAAGCTCTGATTTTTAACCAGCACATAATACAGAAATATTATGCATTACAAATTATGTATTATATTATTTACTACACATCTGCGCACTGATCTTTTCTACTGTCTTTGGTATATCCACTCCCAATCCTTCTGAGTTCCTGGAAGAGAGGAATATGTTGATGTCTCCTTTCCCATCCACCCCTCCCTGCTTTTAAAGTAATATCTTTCAGCCAGTTAGCTCAGCTGGTTAGATAGAGCGCGGTGTTGTTAACACTGAGGTGCAGGGCTCCGTCCCTGTACCGGCCAGCTGCCAAAACAAAAATAAATAAAGTAACATCTTTCATAAATGGGCAACCAATTTAAAACACCCAAAATGTCAACTCTTTTAATGCCTAGCTTCATGTTGTATTACATATTCTCTTCTTGTCCTCTCCTCTAATAATGCAAATAAATTACAAAGTTGTACTCAAAAACAAGTCTATCATTGACGAGATCCTTCCAATATTTTATCATATCACAACTTCAAATAAAAGATAAAAACCAACTCTTATTCGGTTTGAAATGTTACAAAATGTTCCATAATCAAACTTATTCTACATCATAAATGATACTTTACACATGCACTGAAAGGCTTTATAGCTAAAACACATGGAAAGTACCAATTAGAACAATTACTTATTACAACAACTTTTGATACAATATTTAATTATATTTGACATATCAATAACCTTCACTTAGGAAGGAAGAAGGCAAACCCCTTCAGCCACTGAAGCTAGGGAACACTGCTTTGTTAGCTATCCGAAAGTAATAAGGGTTGCTTTTTTAACGATGAGGTAAAAAACCTACAAACACAATAATCATAGGAGACTAAATGAATGAATAAAATATATAGGTATGTGTGTATGAATATATTTTTCTACCCAGGCAGAGGAGGTGATTAAAGACAGGTAAGGAGAGGAATTAAAACTAACATTTTTAAAGTACGTATTATGGGTTAGGTTCCTTCAGTAATTTAACAGTCACAAATACGGGATAAATATCTACTAATCTCATTTTAAAAATGTGATTAAAGAAAAAAAAGGCTCAGACATGTAAATAACTTGCCCCAAATCACAGAGCTACAAATAAATAAGGTCTGCCTGCTTACCAAATCTCTACTATTTCTATCACATCAGGTATGGAAGAACCACTCACGTATGGTGGGTTTTTGTTTCACTTTGTTTTAGGGGTAGATTTACTTTAAGAATATATTTTTAGGGTGGGCCAATTAGCTCAGTTGGTTAGAGCATGGTGTTATAACACCAAGGTCAACAGTTCAGATCCCCATATGGGCCAGTCTCCAAAAAGAGGAAAAAAAAATATATACATATACACACACACACACGCACACACATATATATATTTAAAACCTATACCATCAAATAAAGGATGAGGAAAAGTTTCTATTCCAGCTGATGAATGCTGAAAGAATGATAGAAATAAAGTGTCACTAGGCATTCATCATAGTTAACTGTTGCTAACTAAGCATGAAGATGGAAAAACTACTGATGAACACACACACAACCACCTATGAAGTAGTCCTGTCATTAAAAAAGTTGATAAAAATCAACTTTCAATCTGACCAAGGCTCTATAACCAACTATCAATTTACAGGAAGGACAGAAGAACATGTTAAAAGATACCACAGAGCTGCAAGCAGCAAAAGTCAGACTGTAGGAAATATTATGTTACAAAAACGTGGTTTCATCAACAAATAAATCGCAAGGAAAAAAAACACAGATGGACGTATACATTAAAAGAGGCATAATATACAGATCTTTTTGAGATCCCAATTCAAACAATTAAATTATTAAAAAGAAGTAAAAGCTATTAAATTATGAGAAAATTAGAAATTTGAACTCTGGCCTTCTTTTGTTAATATTAAATGAAATTATTATTTTTTAAGTGTGATAATGTTATCTTGGTGATTTAATTTTAGAGTCCTTATCTTTTAGCAATACAATATGAAAAACTTATAAGTGAAATAAAAAGATGTCAAGAATTTGTATCAAAATAATATAAAGGGGGGAGAGTGAGTAGAGATATAAAGTTGAGTTGGCAAACTTTTTCTATAAAAGGCCAGATGATAAATATTTTAGGTTTTGAGGGCTGTGTTGTCTGTTTCACTATTGAACTTTGCCATTGTAGCATGAAAGCCACAGCCACAACAAAAGAGAATGAAAGTGGCTGTATGCCAATAAAACTTTATTTATAATAATAGGCAGTGAGCTAGGTTTCGCACATGGGCTGCAGTTTGCCAGCCCTTGGTAAAAATAAATCAAAACTGACCATGAAGGCCAGATGTGGCTCACTTGGGAGAGTGTGGTGCTGACAACACCAAGTCAAGGGTTAGGATCCCCTTACCGGTCATCTTTAAAAAAAACAAAACAAAACAAACAACAAACAAACAAAAAAAACTGACCATGAAATGATAATTATCAGAGTTTAGTGATGGATAATTAGGAGTTCATTATACTAACAACACCAAGTCAAGGGTTAGGATCCCCTTACCGGTCATCTTTAAAAAAAACAAAACAAAACAAAAAACAAACAAACAAAAAAAACTGACCATGAAATGATAATTATCAGAGTTTAGTGATGGATAATTAGGAGTTCATTATACTACTGTCTCTTTTACGTTAGAAACTTTGCATGAGTTTTTAAAAAGCCTAGACAACATTTTCAATCACTAATCTATTCCTATCTACAATTAACATTTCATTAAACACACATTTCAAATACATCTCACATCCAATTACACAACATATTAATTGCTACCTAGAAGCTGTAAACGGTCCTTGGCCATAACCAAATTAGTCATCATTTTAGCCTGAAGGCGTCTAGCTCTTTCACACTGTTCACCTGAAAGAAAAAAAAATATTAATTAAGATATCTATGTTTCCGTAATAATATTGTTTCAAGATAAAATATCACTCCAACTACTCTCATGGGGAGTCAAAGTCTTTATTAAAGAAATTAAGAAAATAAACCCATACGGGCTAGCCAAAAAAAGACAGAAATCAAGAAAATATTATTTTCAAATAATACTCATATCTACTAAAAAAAATTAGTTATAGTTACTCATAATGGTTTCAGACCTACTGTGGTATTTCATGGATCTCATTCATATTTCATAGAGCCTAAGACATTTTTTCCCCACATTTCAAAATCTTTGAAATTGGGATGCATTTTACAATCAATGCCTACTTGCTAATGCTATGAGCCAGGCTGCTGATACCATAGTCTGTCACTGCCTTTGGATGTACAAATTTAGTCATAGATAATAATACTGTTGTTATATCAATGTCTAAATAAGACTAAGACAGACTATTCAATAAGATTAAAATTTAAATTGTAAGTGATATTAGAGAGTGTATCATGGTTTAACTGACATTGCTTTTTCTCTTAGTGGTACAATGAAAAGCATTTTCATTCAATAAAACACTGTTGTTCTTATCACTACTTCATTTTTTTCTAACTTTTCTTCCACATAATTGACAAAGAAGAGCAAATATATTTTGTACTGTTGTTCTTATCACCACTTCATTTTTTTCTAACTTTTCTTCCACATAATTGACAAAGAAGAGCAAATATATTTTGCACATAATTCATAAAGTCATGCTCATCAATATCTCAAAGGCCCAACCTTCCATATTTACCTATTCTATTGTTTTCTTTTCTTTTCAGCAGCTGGCCGGTAAGGGAAACCAAACCCTTGACCTTGGTGTTACAAGGTTCTAACCAACTGAGCTAACTGACCAGACTCTGTTTTCTTTTATACAGGAGACCAGTAACTAGAGAAGGAGTTAAAATATAAAGGGGAGAGGAAAATTGCAAGGTATATTTTGGACACATTATAATTATTGGAGATTAGCTAACATAAGTAGTAGAGTCAATCAGCCAGCCAACAAAAACTACTGGATGGATTGATTCTTTTTTTTTTTTTTAAAAGATGACCGGGGGCCGGCCCGGTGGCACACTGCTATAGTGCGCCACTTGGGAAGCGTGGCAGCGCTCCCGCCAAGGGTTCGGATCCCACATACAGACCGGCCGCTCACTGGCTGAGCGAGGGGCGGGAGCAACACCGAGGGTTGCGATCCCGTGGCCGGTCCCGGTCCGGTGCGGGCACGACACTGAGGGTTGCGATCCGTTGCCGGTCACAAAAAAAGACAAAAAAGGAAAAAAAAAAAAAAAAAAAAAAGATGACCGGTAAGGGGATCTTAACCCTTGACTTGTTGCTGTCAGCACCATGCTCAGCCAGTGAGCGAACCGGCCATCCCTATATGGGATCCGAACCCGGGGCCTTGGTGTTATCAGCACCGCACTCTCCCGAGTGAGCCACGGCCGGCCCCCTGGATGGATTGATTCTTAGCCTAAGTACTCTTATTTTTGCATCTGAATTTAGTTTATCTATGATAAACTGAAGTACTCTATGTATTTAATAGTGGTACCTGTATATTATACAATATTCATACCACAATATTTAAGAATTTGACTGCCTGGGTTCAAATCCTAACTCTGTCACTTGATAGCTACAAGACCTCAGTAAGTTACTTGACTTCTCTGTACTTCAGGTAATTCATCTGAAAAGTAAAGAGAACAACAGCAGCTACAGAGTGTGGGGTGGTGGTAAAAAAAAAAAAAAAGAGAGAGATATTAAAAGAGTACATATGAAGTACTTACAATGATGCTTGGGCATACAGTATGTTTGCAATAAATGTTAGTTATAATTAGACTTTAATTTTGAAATTGAGATAATGGGAAAGTAAAAATGAGAAATAACTGCTTTTAAAAAGCCAAGTGTGGGGCCAGCCCGTGGCTCACTTGGGAGAGTGTGGTGCTGATAACATCAAGGCCACAGGTTTGGATCCTATATAGGGATGGCCAGTTAGCTCACTTGGGAGAGTGTGGTACTGACACCACCAAGTCAAGGGTTAAGGTCCCCTTACCGGTCATCTTTTTAAAAACAAAAACAAAAATAAAAAGCCAAGTGTGGATCAAAATAAGACATTTACAGCTCATATTACAATATGCAGTCAAGAAGCACTACACATAAGCATAAAGGGAGTCTGTGGATTAACCACTCCTTCCCTCCTTGACAATGAAGAAAGAACCATGTTTCAAAAACAGGGCTAGAGGCCGGCCCCGTGGCTCACTCAAGAGAGTGCAGCGCTGGTAGCACCGGGCCGCAAGTTCAGACCCTATATAGGGATGGCTGGTGCGCTCACTGGCTGAACGTGGTGCAGACCACACCATGCCAAGGGTTGCGATCCCCTTACTGGTCAAAAAATAAAATAAAAAACAAAACAAAACAAAACAAAAAACAGGGCTAGGCTGGCAGTTGGTTAGAGTGTGGTGCAGATAACACCAAGGTCCAGGCTTAGATCCTTGCCACAAGCCAGATGCCAAAATAAAAAAGAGAGGGAGCTAAAACACGTGACTGATCACCAACAGTGGCTCCAAAGAGCACACAAGTAATGTACTAGTTGCTATGTAACTGCTACATGTAATCAAGTTTGAGCATATCTGGTTATAACTTCATTTTCAGAACAGACAATAAAATATTAACTATAAGTCTACAAATTTTAACAATAACATTTAAAAATATGTTTAAATACCTTTGTTAAGATAAAGAGATCTGAAATTAGGGCAATTGCGTGCATATAATTTAGGATGGCTATAAACCAATCTAAATATGAAAATAATCTTACCTTGTCCTGTAACTATGACAGCTATTCCTTTCTCTAGTTCTTCAATACCTTTCTTATACCATTCCACAGCTTGCTCCTTCTGTCCTACTTTAAAAAGAAATATTTTTTTATGTCATGAGTATGGAGAGTACACTAAATATTTCCCAAAGCATGCTGTTGACAGATGATACATGAAAAATAGGGTTCTGATCAAATAAGTCTAAGAATCATTACTATATGACTTCTTAGTACTTTTAGCATCTTAATGTGTTTATGAATCCCCAAGAGGGAAATATAGCTACAATGTTTCTCAAAATTTTAGGGCTGTGAGTCCGTTTTTGCTTATCATCTTATGGTATTAATGTTTATACCCCCTGAAATGATGTACTGGAGGAAAAATAATTATTTAGGGAATATTATTTTAAATAAATGATTTTTTAAATATATAGTATTGAAAAATATGTGATTTCAATAAGAAAAAACCACTGTTCAATCTAATTATATTCAAATACAATGTAATGTGTTCACTGATGAGTGCCTCTTTCCTAGAGTGAGTTTTTATTTAACAAGTGACTATATCACAAGAACTGGTACATAAGATTACAACTGTAGCATTTAGTAACACTTTCCTATTTTCTTTGAACCAAATGACTGGATTAAAACATTAATTCTTGATCCAAGTTAAGCTTAATAAGGATCTAAAATCGAGCATAATCAAAATGTGTATGGAATACTTCTATAATGAGATAATTACATGTAAATCTCATTGATTTTGAAAATTAATTTCTTAGTCCTTAGAATCTGCAAAGCATTGTAAATGACTAAAACAGAGATACAGTAAAGCAAAGGTGGAAATCACTGATAGAATTGTGTTTTCATTTCTCTCAACTCATATATACTTTGAAACAGAGAAAAATTTTCATGTTATTCTTTAATATTATTTGAAATTTCAAAATTCAATAAAATATCATGACTCTCTTGATAACATAAAAAATATAGAGTATTATTATAAATACCACATACAGCAATTAAGAAATGCTTTACCACAATCTAACAGGCAAGCCCCCCTTCTTCTATTTCTTCATCCCCAAAATAAATCACTACATTCAGTCCCTTACACAGAGCAATTTCTTACTTACCACAATATCATCAGTATTTTACACTGTGCCTGGTCAAGAGTAAATGCTCAATAAGTACTTTGTAACGATACACAAAGAAATCAACAGTGTGTCATAAGTCAACTCTAACTATGTATTTGGATGTTCATCTTCCTGTTTTCAATAAAGAAATTATATGTTTACAAGTATTTTTGTTTTTTTAATTTGAAGAAAGAAAATTAGAGAAAGTAGTATAAATTTTGCATTCTGAGTTGTGAGAATATTGATAACAATGTCCTATTTGCTTAAAAAAACTTAAAACAGTGTGCAACCAAACCTATAATACAAGTTCCTTTTATTTTATTTTTTAAATTTACATTTCTTTTGAAATCTAACTATGTTGCTATATATATGGATCTAGCACATTCATTTTGACTTCTTCATAGTATGCTATATCATCCTATAATTTGTTCTACCATTTTTTTCTATTAAAGGATATTGAGATTGTTTCCAGTTTCTCAATACATCAAAAAATGCCACAATAGGGGCCGGCCCGGTGGCGCACTGCTACAGTGCGCCACTCGGCAAGCGCGGTGGCGCTCCCGCCGAGGGTTCGGATCCCACATACAGACCGGTTCCTGCTCACTGGCTGAGTGAGGTGTGGGAGCAACACCGAGGGTTGCGATCCCGTTGCCGGTCCCGGTCCGGTACGGGCGCGACACTGAGGGTTGCGATCCGTTGCCGGACACGAAAAAAGACAAAAAGGGGGGGAAAAAAAATGCCACAATAAACATTCTTGTACCTGTCCCCTAATGCATATCTGCCAGTTTCTCTAGGGTATACACTTATCAAATAAAATTGGTGAGCAACAGTTCATCACATATTCTCCACTCACCAGAAATCAACAAACTACTTTTTAAGAGTGCTTATACCAATTTACATTCCTAATAAAAGTGCATGAGAGTTCTCGAAGGCAACAACCTTAATCAATATTTGATTCTGTCATTCACATAGTCCATAATTTTTAAAGCAAGTCAGTGGTTTGGATCCCCTTACCAAAACCAAAACAAACAAAAAATAAATAAAATGAATATTGTATATGCAACAAAATTTTCCAAGTGTTTTTAACAAAAAAATCAAAGTGCAAGCAAGATAAAATGTATGTTGACCTATTTTAAAAGAACAAAATGTTTTGAAGAGTTTTGGTACATTGTCTGTAGCAAATGAAATGTCTGATTACAAATAAATTCACGTACTCAATAATTACTCAATTATCTAATATTCTTTGGTAACAGGTGGTTGATTTGTTGCATTATCTTATAAGTTGGGATGATAGTAGAAAATGCATAGATATCTCTTACCTAAAAGTACAGGACTACTGGAGAAGAGATACACATACAGATCAAGGGAATTGAAGAGAAAGCCTAGAGATTGATGCATGCATATATTGTTTATTGATTTTGACAAAAATGACAAGGTAATTCAAGAGAGAGGGAACAGCATTTTCAAAAAATGATGCTGAAACAACTGGACGTTAGTATGCAAACGCCCCCCCCCAAACAAACAACTTCATACCAATGTTCACAGAAGCATTATTCACAACAGATGGAAACAACCCTAACTGCCTCAATGGATAAGCAAAATATAGTATATACATACAATGGAATATTTATTATTCAGCCTTAAAAAGGAATGAAATTCTGATACATACTACAACTTGGATGAATCTTGAAAACATTGTGATAAGTAAAACAAGTCAGACACAAAAAGACAAATATTGTACAATTCCACTTACATGAGGCACCTAGAATAGGCAAATTCATAGAGACAGAAAGTAGAACAGAGGTTACCAGGGATTGGGGGGAGGGTAGACGGTTGGGGGGTGAGTAATGGGACGTTAATGTTTAATGGATACAGAGTTTCTGTTTGGGATGATGAAAAGTTCTAGAGGTTATGATGGTACAACACTGTGAATATACTTAATGCCACTGAATTGTACACTTAAAATGGTTCAAATGGCAAATTTTGTTATGTATATTTTACCACAAAAACAAACACAAATGGCCCTTTACAGGCAGTTTGCTGATCCCTCCTACACAGCAATGAAAACGAAGAAACTACTGCCACATGCAACATCACTTAATCTGACAAGCATAATGTTGAGCAAAAGAAGCCATACACTCAAAGAACACATAAAGCTCAAGATCAGGCAAAATTAATCTGTGGTGTTAGAAGTTAGGATTGTACATACCTTTGCAAAGCACAGGGCAAAGTAGTGAGTGGAGGGGAACATGAGAAAGGCAGGCTTCTAGAGCAATATTCTATTTGTTAACCTGAGTGGGATTATGGTTCTGTGTTCAGTTTGAAAATTCACTAAGAAGTATACTAACTATGCACTTTATGTATATTTTAATAAAAGTGTTCTTAAAAAAACAGATGAGGAAGATCAAATATATTGAAATGGAGAGAGTCCCAAAATACATTAAGTGAAAAAGGTTACAGATCAGTTTGTATGTAACATGATTTTTTTTTCTCTAATGAATAAATGTTTATGTTTATATAAATAAACCAAGTCAGGAAACATTAATAATCATCCCCCTTAGGGTAAGATTACATAGGGTTTTCATTTCTATATTTGCACATTCCTGATTTTTGCTCATTGAAGTTATATAAAGCCCACTACTTTTACTATCTATTTAATCCTTCTTGTTACTGTTACTTAGTTCTTAAGTGTTCTTCCACAAACAATTCCAGAGAACAAATATATCCATTTGCCTACAATAATCTTCTACTAGCAATGTGCAAGTGTCAAAATTAACAGAGTAACAGCTGTCTTTAAAAATCTCACAGTATTGCTGGCCAGTTAACTCAATTGGAGAGCACGGTACTGACAACACCAAGGTCAAGGGTTCAGATCTCCACGCTGGCCAGCTGTCCCCTCAAAAAAACATCTTACAGTAGAGTTTAACAGCACCACAGTTAATCCAAAGGAGCTAACTCCCACACTAATGTGTGCTAATCCCCAGTAAACTACAGGGACCATGAGGCATTAGTTTGGGAACGAATTACTAACAGCCGCCTGCTTAATTCTCTAATAGTTCACTATTACAGAAAGGATGCTTCTACTCTAATTTACAAAAACGTCTTATTTGCTTTCATTTTCAAACTTAAAGGTTTATTTCTCAAGTAAAGCCTTACTTTCCTATTTAATGTGGAAGGCTTTGAACTCCATGTAAAGAAATCATTTCAGTTTGGGACATTTTCTTTGAACCTCAATGATGTCACTTGATTTTCTTGAAAAATCTCTATGGGTGCATTTTAATTTCCTTCTCTGTATTTTCTGTATTTTCCAAATTTTATATCAAGAGCTTGTATTACTTTCATAGATGAGCACAAAATCTTTTGTAATAAAAAGCTAGGAGACTGGGCCGGCCCGTGGCTCACTCGGGAGAGTGCGGTGCTGATAACACCAAGGCCACGGGTTCGGATCCTATATAGGGATGGCCGGTTCGCTCACAGGCTGAGCGTGGTGCTGACAACACCAAGTCAAGGGTTAAGATCCCCTTATCGGTCATCTTTTTAAAAAAAAAAAAAAGCTAGGAGACTAAGTAAGCGGTGAGGTTAGGTGGAAACTTCCATCTGTTTTTTTTGTTTTGTTTTGTTTTTAAATATCTAAGGGTCACAATTAGTGCAAGTATTTTTATATCACTCTTTCGATACTTCTTTTCCAAAATTTATTTGTGCTGCTACTGTGCCCTAAAAAGAGTAAAGGAAACTAGTATAAAGATTTAACAATGTTCTAACATAACCTTTAGAGGCTCTAATCTCAAAAGGACTGTTGAATTAATAATAGTTCCCATGGGCTGGCCAGTTAGTTCACTTGGTGAGAGCATGGTGCTGATTAACACCAGGTTCGAGGGTTCAGATCCCATACCAACCAGTCACTAATAAAAATAATAATAATAATAATGATAGTAAAAAATAGTTCTCATTTACTGAGTGCCTACTATG